TTTCTTGTAATGTAATGATCAACGGACATTCACACATGAAAACTCAAAAAAATAATATCTAATATTTTTAGTGATTTTTTTAAATTAGTTTACAGCTGGATCCGACCGACTAATTGATTCGTACCGTCGATCTACCTACCTAAACTAATTTTCAAGATGGATGATCCGAGTCACCTATCCAACTTTTTAAACACTGGTTTTAATAAAACAATGGTTATTGTATCACATGTTAACCCTTGTGATATTGAGTTCCATTTCTATCATTAAAATAGAAGACGGAAATAACGGTCTTTGAACTCGAACGAATTCCTCTTTAGAAAAATAAAGCAGTTAGCTTTTACTCATTTTGTTCTTCCCTCGCTTGTTTGTTTGTATGCTTATCTCATTACCCTTTCTCCATTTTTTTCTTTTACCGATATTTCTTTTTTTCCCTACAGTGGCTCTTATGCCTAATCTTCTTTCATTTATTTCTTTTTACCGGGTTTTAAAAACAAGTATTTTAAGTAGAATTACCCGATCCAAATCAAGAACCGGCGGTGCCTAATTTGGTTCTTGGTTGAAACTGAAAAGCAGTCTGGTTCCGATGGAACCAACCGGTTTTATAAGGGAATCAAGTAATCCAAACCAGCCGAATGTGCTAAACTAATTAATTGGAAAAATGCTCTAATGGGGATGAGTTTTAAATTTTTTATTTTTATTGGCCAATTATCTTATGTAAGAACTGGTTGGATCACCAATCCATACCACTTTCTCACCATCTAGTGGCTCGCTTTTCATCAAAGTGATTTATGTTTCCAAGGCCATGGCACAAGACATGCAGAGCTTTTATTCCACAAGACTAAATAGACTGTGGAACTCATTGCTTCAAAGGGCACAAGGTACAAGGAAGCCAAGGGTGAAAAAACAGGCCAGGCCCGGAGCCCTGGCCCGAACCCTACCCTTGTCCCCATAGGACCGGCTGAGGCTCGGCCTTGGCTCTATTAGGGCTGGGCCAGACCAAAAGCAAATAAAAAAAAAAAAACTAAAGGAAAAAGAAAAAAAAGGCCAGGCTGGGGCCCAAGAATTGGAGCCACATATTGTGGCCCAGGCCCAACTTTTTAAAGGATGGGCTGGTCCGGGCCGGATGCCCGTTGCCAGCCCTAAAGGAAACGTTTCTTTTATGTACAGGGTCATTGATGGTCTGGCGAGACCATCGTCAACATATGGTCTCTTGGCTGAAACTCATAGGTTGCCTTTTCACCCAAGTATGCTCCAATTCATCCATACCTCGGTGATTGGATCATTGGACATGGGCCATCTTATTGAATTCGTTAAGGGTTTCAATTTATCAAATTATCTACAAGGTAAATAAAAAAGAAAAGAAAAAGTTTATATAGAGCCACTGAGGCTCTAGACAATCAAATTAGAGCCCCCTCAAAAATTTCATTAGAAGAGGTTGTTTTGATGCTCCCAAATATCCTCAAATTGATCATTTAGACATCAAGATGCATGGATATGAGAAAAAAAATGGAATTCAAATTTTCGAAATAGTACACCTTGTAACACATTTTTGGACCGTCAATTTTCAAGATTTTGAAGCTTTCATAGATCTGCTCAATCTATGTTATTTTTGAAGCTTTAAATTTTATAATTAAAAACAAAAAATATATTTTAAGGCTATCACGAAGATTTCTAGTATTCAAACTATATTTCTCGATACTATTTGAAGGTGCTCTTTATTTTGATTGTTTAGAGCCTCGGGTCAATACAAATTGTACCCATAAAAAAATGATTGAGTGGACTAAAAGTAATCCCCCTAACCAGTTGTCAAAAAGATGGGATGTTGTTGGGGTGAGAGGCCATGAACTAAGGTGGTCCAGCGGCCCCTTTGTAAAGTCCGTTAACGTTCAACGTACCCCCTTGCAAAGAGATACGGTTTAATATACCCCCTTGGAAAGAGATACGGTTTAATATATACGGGGATTGTATACAATCATATCATTTATCTTTTGTACAAAAAGGTCACACTTACTTATAACCATCATATATAAAATCTGATAGCTTAGGTTTGTCACAAAGTTGAAAGAAATTTCTTTTGAACTTTGAGCTTTGTCAATGAAATAAATGCAGTCAAGAAATTTTACATTCAATGGTCAAAAATAATTGTGACCACCTTATACCAAAAATAAATGATCTCATTGTATACTTTCCCTTTAATATTTATCGAAAAAACTTATTGTACATCTTCACCCCTATATATTTTACGTATGTCCTTTACCTCCTAGTCTACACCCCTCACCTCCTAGCTGTCCAATTTAAATTGATGGTTGGGATAGTTTTAACCATTGTTTCATAAGTAAACCACTGACCTTTTGATCTAGATCTGAAGTCTCATAGTAATTATTTTTAATTTATTTTTTACAAATCATGTGAACATGAATTTTGTTGCATGTCATCATCTTAAGGAATGCATCTAAAATAAATATTAACAAATTACCTTTTTTTAAAAATAAAATAACCAAAATATCTCTAAAACTTTGAAAGGTCTTTTGGTCATTTTTATCAAAAATATCTTTTTTTTCTATATTTTCACTAAATGTGAGCTTAAAGGAGGATTGGACGCCCCAAATTTGGTATCAATATCATTTCTAAAAAATTAATTAAAACAAAATGGCATTTAGGTGCGACATTGCGATTGAGAACATATCAGCCGTCCATTCAAACCCGACATATAGGAGATGAGGGATATAAGTTAAATGTATAGAGGTGGGGATGCAGAGTGAGTTTTCCCATATTAATAATGTGTCATATAATGTAGGTTTAAATAAAGAGAAAATGTTAGATTTATATACAAAGGAAGAAAAAAGCATTAAAAATATTTTGGAGGAGACCTCTGGTGAAATCCCATTTTGGATTAGATTAAAAGCACGTTGAGCCAAATAGGATGAGGTCTAAATGTGATAATGAGACAGCAAAATCAAAATGGTGGGCCAAACTGTATTGGGAAAGTATATCTCCATTTACTTTTTTAGTTTAAAATTAATTTGGGACCCCAAATTTCGGTGATATGACCATTTCAATTCCAAGATTAACTTCAATAAAAGAAATTTTTTAATTGCACCTTCTATCGCTCAAAAAAAAAGTCTTGAGATTGAATGGAGACCGTCCAATTTTTAAAGAGCGACATCTAAGTTGGAAAACTCAAAATTCTTTTTTTTTTTTCTGAGAATAATTATCTAATAATTTTTACGTGGTTCCCAAAATATCTGATTGAAAAAATCCTCCAAGTACATCTTCTGACTGAGGGAGTAGATGTACATTGTACTCCAATAAGAGCATATAGTATACACACTCTTCTATTTTTATGGTTTGGGTTTAAATTATTAAATGAGTATTAGCAAAAATAATTTTCCATTAATATTAGTAAGAGTAATGAATATGGATTTAATTATGAGAAAATTTTATATAAAGCAGAGGTTCTAAAAAATCAAATTTGAGCCTACCTCAAAACTTTCACTAGAAGATGTTTTGATGCCCAAATATCCTCAAATTGATCATCTTGACATAAAGATGCATGGACATAAGAAAAAAATAGATTTCAAGTTTTGAAAATAATGTATTTTGTAATGCGTTTTTGGACCGTCAATTTTCAAGATTTTCAAGTTTTTATAGATATGTGGATCTACAATGTTTTTGAAGCTTTAAACTTTATAAATAAAAATAAAAATATATTTTAAGGATATTACAAAGATTTTCAATATTGAAACCACATTTCTCCATCGAAATTAAGTTGTCGTTCATATCATCATTAATACGTCGAAAATCACTATCCAGCATAACAGTCTTTTCTTTTTAATTTAATTTTAAATTGGTAACTCTTATACCCATTATCAGTCCCTCACCACCTGGTGAGCATGTTGATATCAATACTTTTGCTTTTTAGATTTCACCCACGACATAATCAGGAAGTTGGTTAATATACGGATCGCAATGGATTGGGCCAGTGCCCAATCAGAGCCTGGCTAGGCACAATACCACAGCAGCTCAAGATTTGGGCCCGGGTTCCACATATAGGGGGCCCATTTTGACTTAGTCAAAACTTTTTTTCTATAATTTTTTTTTTTTCTTAATTATATTTGATCCAGCTTGCCGTGACAGGATTAGGGCTAGGTTGGGTCCAATGTTGGAAAAGTCAATTGGGGCTGAATATTTCGCTCATGCCCCAGCCGAGTACTCTTATGAGTCAAAGTAACTCGGATCGATTACTGTAGCACCTAGAAATTATTGAAAAAAATAAAAAACTCGAAGAATAGAAAATATATATTCAAAAGCAAAACACAACAAATTGTGGTTGAAAGAGTAACAAAAAATAGATTTTAAAAAAGGGTGTGGTTTCTATAAGGTGGCAACCCTAAATTTTATCATAAAATGTAATTTTGGTGTAAAACATTATTCGTATTATCTCAAAATCTATTTTTCATATCTAATTATAAAATTTTAAATTTAAAAAATGGTTAAAATCAAGTAGATCTATAAACATATGAAAATCTAAAAAATGGACGGCCTAGATAATGTGTTGTAAGATGCATTATTTCCACGACTCAAAATTTTTTTTTTTTTTTTCCTTTATCGATACATCTCGATGATCAAGTGGAGCGTTTTCCAACATATAAACAACCTTCTATGATGGATTTTTGAGATGGTGAACATCTTAAAGTCGCAACCTTATAAATAAAAGTTTTTCAAAAATAAATATATATATATATGTAACAAATTAATTGGTCAAATTTTTAGAACTTTTTAAATTTTTTTTAAAAAAATTAAAGATCATGCTGGAGTGGGCTCTATAACAACTAGGCCCGGGCTTGGGCGAGGTGCGAGGACAGGGCGGTGTAATAATTGGAAGAGGAGAGGCAGGATTTCCCGCGGTAATGTGACGATTGGACCCTCCCCTACTTTTTTTGGCACCGAACGAACATCAATCACCAAATAAAATGCAAAAAGATCGAAAGCGAAAGAACCAAAAAGAGTGAAGGGTAGTTGTTTGACCCAAACCCATCACCGACACTCTCACATCCCATCAGACTCGCCACAAAACCAGCCATTTTTCATTCTCTCTCTCTCTCTCTCTCTCTCCACACAAATCAAACCCAAATATCTCAAAACCCGATCGATCCCCAAATGCAAATTCATTCCTCCGCCCCCCTCTCCCTCTCCCTCTCCCTCTCCACCACCACTCTCTCTCTCTCTCTCTCCAAATTCGAAATCCATGACTGCCGCATCCCTCATCCCCTTCTTCTCTCTCATCGCCATCTCTCTCCTCCGTGCAGGTGGAGCGGATCCCTGCAGCGGCCGCTACATCTTCATCCAACACCTCCCGCCGCGCTTCAACCGCGACCTCCTGGCGGACTGCGCTGCGTACCCTGTTTGGCAGGATTTCTGCCCCTACAAGGCGAACCTGGGGCTCGGCCCCAAGACCCACAACGGCACCTCCTCCTGGTTCCGCACCGATCCCTACCTCCTCGAACCATTGTTTCACGCCCGCATGTACCAATACCCCTGCCTTACCCCGGACCCCGACCTCGCCTCTGCTGTCTTCCTCCCGTACTACGCCTCCCTCCACTCGCTTCCCTTCCTCTTTGGGCCCGACCAGAACTACAGCATCGCCCACGGCCTCGACTTGGCCCGCCTCCTCTCTGACTCCTCCGTTTACAGACGTCGCCACGGCCATGACTACTTCTTTGTGGCCTCGCGCACCGCGTTGGATTTCTCTAGGCCGTTGGACTCCCGACCCGACGCCTGGGGTACCAGCCTCCTGGAGCTCCCGGCCTTCTTCAATTTCACGGTGCTGGTGACAGAGTCACGGGCGTGGCCCTGGCAGGAGCACGCAGTCCCTTACCCGACGTCTTTCCATCCATCGACCCTCTCCCACCTCCACACCTGGCTGCGCCGGGTCCGCCGCTCCCCCCGCCCCACCCTCATGCTCTTTGCAGGCGGAGCCACCATGTCCCCCAACGGGCCCCCCAACATCCATCGCTCCATCCTTTCCCAGTGCGCATCCACCGATGAGAGCATATGCTCGATCGCAGATTGCTCCCGCTCCGCCTGCGACCACGACCCGGGCCGCTACATGAGGCCCATGCTGCGGGCCCGCTTCTGCCTGCAGCCCCCGAGCGACACCCCAACGCGGCGGTCGACATTCGACGGGATGATCGCAGGATGCATCCCTGTCTTCTTCGAGGACCGCTCCGCCAAGTCGCAGTATGACTGGCATATGCGGCCGGAAGAGTACCGGGAGTTCTCTGTCTTCATAGCAAAGGATGAGGTGGTTTGGGGCGGATTGAACATAAGCAGGGTGCTGATGGGAATTGGGGATGAGGAGGTGAGGAGGATGAGAGAGAAAGTGATTGAAATGATACCTAGTATCATTTACAGGGGGCATCGAAGCTCTAAATCCCTAAGGGAGGAGGTGAAGGATGCTTTCGATTTAGCAGTGGAGGGAGTCATCCGCAAAATCAAACACAGGATATCCAATTTGGGCGTAGATTAACTTGGGCATTTTGTCATTAGATCCAGATCCGGAAGGGTACCCTCCCTGCTGCCTGCTCGGAACCAGACACGTACATGAACTATCGAATTTTTTTTTTCATAAACCCATCGATGGTGATCAATTCGGGAAAGAAGCTGTGTAAAAATATACAGGCGATCCGGAATCGGGATCCCCATTATAGAGCCATTTCCATTAGTTGTATTTTTGATTGATTCTTGATGAAGGGCATTGGGCAATAGCCAATCCGTACTGAAGATACTTGTATACACACATTTTACTTGTTGATCAATTGAAACTGAATCTGTACTACCAAATTATCGGATTGTACCGCTTTAGCAGCTTTTTTAAAGATTTTTGCCTGTCAACCAACCTACACGAGGTTCTTTCTGATTATAAAAGTTAGAGCACGCATATCATGCTCCCTCAGGATCATAGTTTACTTCTACTCCCAAGATCTACTTCTTTCAATTTGAGATCCATTTTACAATTATTAGATGAGTATTTTTAAAAAATCAAAATTCAAGATATCTAACACTTATATCTTGCCTCGATATCCTCTATTCAATTTCAATATATTATTGTACAATCAGGAAATTTTTTTTTTTTATATTGAAATTTATCTATGGGTTGAAGAAGTTAATCCCAAAAAAATTCAGGTGTTTAAACTAATTTTAAGCGAGGTTTTACCTGAGGGAGTAAATGAACATTCTACTCCGGCGGGAGTGGAATATCTTTTGACATACAAGTTTTCTTTTTCTATGGTGAATCTTGGAAATCATTTTATTTTGTTGGTTAAGACTTTATTTTGAAGGGTTAACGGTATGGAACCTTGGACATTAATTAAGAACTTCACTTTGCCTAATTTGCTATTTATGAACTTCACACTTTTTCCATGTTCCATTAAATTCTTAATGCATAGATTCGAGCAAGTTGCATGTGAGTCCGAGCTAATAAACATTTAATACATCTTATGCATCAGCCCAAGATTTAATACGTGTCATTGTTTTGCGTAAAAAAACAAATCAATGGAGAAAATTATTATAAATATATATTAATTTTCGACAAATTAGAAAGAACCATCCACTTTCATAAACTTTGTCCACACCCTTTTTTTTCAGTTTTGACATTTAAAATACTTCGAGTTATCATGGCATTTAAAATGACAGTACAAAATGGGGTAGTCATTACAATACTTAGTACTCAAGTTTCACAATAATATGGCTACCGTAAAAGCTATTTTGATTGAAAAGAATACAAAAAAAGGGTACGGATGATATTTATGAAAGTTGGTAATTTTTTTCTAATTAGGTGAAAATAAAAGTATATTTATGGTAATTTCCCTAAAATCAACATCCACTTGGACATGAAATTTAGACTTAAAATCTCATAGATCGTGGAACCATAAAAAATAGGGATTTTGAATTTTATAAAAAAGCTATTTTAAGTTTGCTTTAGGATCGGCTCATCAATTATATCATTCACTAATATAAATGAAAGTATATTTAATTATATTAGTAAATCTATTATTTACTTATAAGTAAGTATTATTTTGAAAATGGGATAAACTAGATATGTAAGAAAAATAAATATAGAAGAAATTATCTTTTAATTTTTGTAGTTTAATTACTTTTATGTTTTATGTTTTATTTTTATTTTTAATTAAATTAATTTTTAAAATAATTGAAATTAATTTTAGATAATATTAGCAAACAAATTATTTAGTCATAAATAAATATTATTCTGAAAAATTAGAAAAAAATGAAAATACAAAAAATATCTCACATGTGTAACAAATAATTCATAATAGTTAGATATCTGATGCAATTAAAACTAATAAAAAAATATTCGTACACATGCCAAAAATATTCAAATTCAAATATTTGCTTTACTCTTTATACTATGTAGCTTAATATTAAGTAATATATAAAAATTGACATCTAAATAACTTAGAGATGATAATATTATAGCCATAAGTCAATTACAAATATATTTTTTAATTGTAAACTAAATTAATTAATATAAAGAAATCAATTCTATAGATAAGATTAGAATAATAATTATAGAATCGTATTTATATAATTATGAGATATTTATAATATTTAATTAGGATTCTAATTATTTTTACAATTTATTTCACATATATTTTTGGTACAATTAACTCCCATCATGATTTTGACATTATAACAATTACTATTTCTATTAATTATTCTAATAAAGGAATTAATTATAATGATTTAAATAATTATTGGTAATTACATTATAAAAACTACACTAGTTATAAGCAAATTTATATTGGGAAAAGTTTATATACAGCCGAGGCTCTAGATAATCAACTCAAAAATTTCACTAGAAGAGGTTGTCTTGATGCTCAAATATCCTCAAATTGATCATTTCAACATCAGGATGTATGGACATGAACAAAAAAATGGATTTCAAGTTTTCGAAATAGTGTATTTTGTAGCACATTTTTGGATTCTCAATGTTAAAGATTTTCAAGTTTTCATAGATATGTTGATCTACAATATCTTTTAAGCTTTAAACTTTATAAATAAAAGTGAAATTATATTTTAAAGCTATCACAAATATTTCCAGTATTAAAACCACATTTTTCGATACTATTTGATGGCAGGCTCTAATTTGATTGTTTAGAGCCTAGGCTCTATGCATACCGCACCCATTTATATAACTATCACTATAATATTAGAATAGACTATTAATATTAAGTCAAAACTTGAATAGTGCTTCATAATGATCATTTTTGTTTAGTAATGATAATTAACATCTTTATAATTAATGAATGATTACACTTGACTTAATTATGATAAAAAAGAGTGTTAAGAGGGAGAAGAGTATTCGTAGAGGGAGAGAGAAAGGGAGGTACATGTGGGGAGGAGAAATAGCTGATATTTTTAAAATATAGGACGGATAAATGTGAGATAAGTAATAGATGTATGCACAAGGTAATACTTCATAATTAATAGAATCTTTTGCAATATCTGAGAAATAATGGATAATTAATGTAAAAATAATTTGATACAATTAACATATGAGAGATGAAGAGAAGGGTGAGACAACATGGGGGTAGAGATAGAATATGAGAAAGGGGCAACAAACACAGGTAGAGAGAGAAATAAAGAGTTTTAAAGTCGGAGATAATGTGAAGTTTCAAATTTGGGGAAGGGGTTGAGGTGGTGGTGGTAGACCCATATCTTCGTTGCACGTTGTGCCTTTCACTCCCACGATAGCTAGTTAAAAAATGAGCAGGGGTTTATATCCCTATTAAATTATCCAAAAGAAAAGCGAGTAATTATGGATCGATAGGTTAATATGAGGATTTGGACAATTTCAAGAATAGAAAAACAAAAAGGGGAAGAAACTAAGAATTAGGAAGATACAACTATAATATAAAAGAGCACATGTCAATAAAATAAAAGGAGACCTCGTCTTGTTTTCTATATAATGATATAATATATATAATAATAAATAAATAGACAGGTAAATATACACTCGATATTCACAAACCCAACTGTGGGAGTGTCGGGTCTTAGTTGAGCCAGCTGACTAAACCATTATTTAAAAGAAAATTGTTTCGTACTGGCTGGACCACATTTCTATATATGCGATTCAAAAAGTGTAAAGCATCCATCTTAAATATGGATACATGTAGGTGTTCCATCTAAAGTCAATGAACACTAACATTCCAAATGTGTTTTACTAGAATTATTATTTTTAGTTTTTAAAATTTATTTATTTATTCATATTCATGATCTCCATGTTAGATATTACATGTCCGTAAAAATTAAATCTTAAAATCCATCTCAAAAATAGATTTATTAAGAGGCCCGCATTTCTTGATATGCGGGCTTGGCCGCAAAGAAATCGGGTCCTTATAAAAAAAAAAAAAAAAAAAAAGAACAAATAAATAACAAAAAGTAACAACAAAAAACAAAAAATACAACTACGAATGAAGTTGAATGAATTTGGATGATAAAAGTTCACCAATAACAAAATTTCTTCAACCTAACATTGTTTCTACCCTAAAATCGATGGATTTATACTCAAATGAGCGATGAGTGGTGGTTATTACATATGAGGATCAATAATAGATTAAAAAAAAAAATTGTGTTCAGAAAAATGGCTAAAAATTCGTTTTCCCTTTTTTTTTTTTTTTGGCTTGAGATCAAGCCTGATTTTGCGGAATCCAACGATTTCAAGCTCATTCGGACAATTCTAAGTCGACTGGACAATTTTCAAATCACTTGCTGCAGTTGTTGGGAAAAAGAAAAAATAAAAGTTAAGGGGCAAAGACAGTGAATCCATTACTTTAACTGATTCTTTGAAACGAAGTATAGTCCATAGAATTGACATTCCACCAAATAGGAATAGAAGAACGCAAGCCCAATATCATTGTAGCAGGTAAAGAGATATGGTATTGGATAGGAATCCAGCACGATACTATGGTAGGTTTGGTTCATATGAAAATAGTCTCTTTGTAACTATTTTCATGCGAAATTGATTGCGCAAACTTTTCGAACATGAGAACATACAGATTTGAGAAATTCTTTCTCGGGAAGGTTTCTATGCTTTCTCTACAGCATAGAAACTCTATCCTTCCCCTACCATCTAGTCGTCTAATTTTGATTAAGAGAGCCACTCATCATTTGATCTTAGATCCGACGTCTCAAAGTATTTTATTTTTAGGTTTTTTATACAATTTGTATGAATATAAAATGTTGTACATGTCATCTTCTCATTGGAGCGCACCTATAAAAAATTTCTAAAAATAAGTTCTCGATGAAATATAATGACCAAAATACCCCTTGAAACTTTCAGGGGTATTTTGGTTATTTTATTTTATTGAAAATATCTTTTTATATTTTTCTCTAGTGCGAGTTTAATGGAGGAATGGATGTCCAAATTTTGGTGTCAAAATAGTTTATAGAAAAAAAAATTAAAAATAAAATAGTGTAGAGACATGACATTGTGATTGGGGCAATCTTAGCACTCGATTCAGAATGGACAGTTGGATAAAAGGGAGTATAGAACTTCCATGTTGTAGGGAGAGTATAGAACTTCTATGCTGTAGGGAGAGCATAGAAAGCTTGCCTTTCGTTCTCAGTATTTTTTGCATATGTAATACTTTTCCTGTAAATATTTTCTTGTACACAGTTCCCCATGAACCAAACAACCACATGTAGGATGGTTTTGTAATAGATCATGTACACCTAATTGAAGTAAGGGAAAATTGATTGCGCAAGCTTTTCGAACATGAAAACATACAGAATTGAGAAATTCTTCCTCGGGAAGGTTTCTATGCTTTCTCTACAGCATAGAAACTCTATCCTCCCCCTACCATCCAGTCGTCTAATTTTGATTAAGAGTGCCACTCATCATTTGATCTTAGATCCGACGTCTCAAAGTATTTTATTTTTAGTTTTTTTATACAATTTGTATGAATATAAAATGTTGTACATGTCATCTTCTCATTGGGACGCACCTATAAAAAATTTCTAAAAATAAGTTCTCGATGAAATATAATGACCAAAATACCCCTTGAAACTTTCAGGGGTATTTTGGTTATTTTATTTTATTGAAAATATCTTTTTATATTTTTCTCTAGTGCGAGTTTAATGGAGGAATGGATGTCCAAATTTTGGTGTCAAAATAGTTTATAGAAAAAAAAATTAAAAATAAAATAGTGTAGAGACATGACATTGTGATTGGGGCAATCTTAGCACTCGATTCAGAATGGACAGCTGGATAAAAAGAGAGTATAGAACTTCTATGTTGTAGGGAGAGTATAGAACTTCTATGCTGTAGGGAGAGCATAGAAAGCTTGCCTTTCGCTCTTTGTATTTTTTGCATATGTAATACTTTTCCTGTAAATATTTTCTTGTACACAGTTCCCCATGAACCAAACAACCATATGTAGGATGGTTTTGTAATAGATCATGTACACCTAATTGAAGTAAGGGAAAATTATAAATGGTTCATCAATTTGCGCTTTCGCTCTCTGGGCAGCCGTTCCTCCACAAATAAACAAATTAATTCTTTTGGATCAGAGCACCTTATTTTAACCTACCTTTGTTGTTTTCTTATGCCACTTTCTCTCTATAAGCCAGACGGTCACAACATGAATATAGAAGCAGTTTCGACACATTTCGAGCTAGACCGACTCAATTTCATTAAAGCAGGCCCAACACATTTTGTGTTGAACTAGCCAAATGTTATTAACATGAGCGAGTCAGGCACATTCTTTATATTAGATTGGCACATTTTGCCAGAAGCCGATCTAGTACATTTTAAGATAAGAAGTCGGTCCAACAAATTGGCAGACCAACACATGTGGGGCATCACATTTTGTAAGAGAAATGTGAGTTAAAATAGATGTATTTTAATTTTAAAAAAATCAACTTTTTTTCTCGGAAGATAGATGTAAGAGAAATAGTGTTGAAGCTAAAAATGTGATTGAAAAAGTATTGGGTGGAACAAGCCTCAAGTATAAATTGGAGGTACCATAATATTCCTAGAATTAAGGGGCTTGTTGGCTTTTCTGATTGGCAAGCGTGGAAGACATCTTGAGCTCAAAGCCCACTATGAATTGCTCAAGTCGTCTTTGGGCCCAAAGGCGCCTCTGTTTCCGAATTGCTAAGAAGAATCATCCCGAGAACCAAGCAACTCAATGTAAACCGTAATGAACCACACAGTTCAATATAGGGACTCAGGTAATACCCTAATCTTATTTCCCTCTCTCATGATTTTTTTATCACCAAGTTATTCTCAAGGCTCTAGATCAGAGAGAGCTAATTCAATCAGCGAGTGCCGTAGTCAGCTCCCTATTATTAGCATTATTAAAATTGGACAGACCATCGAATTGGTGAGTGGGTTAGTCCAATTGCCAGTTGAACCACTTGGATCAAATTTTTTTAAAAATAAAAAGAAATAATAAAAATTAAAAAATATAAATATATTAAAAAAAATTTGCCCAACTTTATTTTAATAGGTCAAACTGGCCAAAATGAATAGATCCAACTAGCGAAAATCAATAGTTGAAATGCAGAGAGGAGGGCGAGACCGACCATAAGGAGTCGTGACCCCAATTTTTGGGACCTTCTCCATCAGTCTCCCTCATTTACATTTAAATGGATTGTGAAGACCCTAAGAACTCTGATTTTCGCCAAGGCCTTGGAACTATAAGATGAATTCCCAACAAAAATAAATGGGACACAATGGCCAATAGCAATAATGTGAGGATATTTCCATATTCTCGAGTTATTTTACTTAATCCCATGCAGGCGATGAAATCTTCTCCAAAATGTATACATTCCATTAGACGAATTCAATTCTGGTATCATCAAATCAGATCAACATATATTCTGAATGGAGGATTGAGTAATATCATACACATGATGAAGTAACAAAACATCCAAAGTGGATTATGAATATGATATGCCATTGAGAAAACAATAAACTAACTAATGCCTGATGACCAAGTACAAAATGGCAATTACCTGATATCTAAAATTTATATACAAACTGTGGGGGAGGGGAAAAGGGCTGGGTTGGTTGTGTTGGTGTTTTCCAAGCCAAACGAGCTGTCCACTGATTGAGATCATCCAAAAGACTTTGCCACTGAGGAAAAGCAACAAGGTAAAAGATAAGGCAATTGAAAACAACAAAAATATGAAGCTTTTGAAATTAATTATCGTAAGGGCCATAATTCGTATTCCACACTAAAGCAGAACGTACTAAAATCTAACAACCTCTATAATACAAACTTCACTGCAGTATGTAAGAAGCAACAAATTCAAAGAAAATAAATAGAGTAACTTGTGAATATCTGACATTCAGATATAATCAACATTAACTACAAGAAGTGGTTATATGCGTAAGAGTCAGCATCATACAAGTCTTATACCAAACAAAATGCTTATGCATGCGCTAGTAAACGAAAGATCAGCGTGTGAAAAGATGGAAGATGAAGTGTCAACTAATAGAGATAAGAAACAAAAGTATAGCCATGTAAACTTTTTGGTAGCTAATGAATTGCACTTGAAAGGTAATTTCTATATCAGCTGGAGTACTAAGAAATAAAAAAGAGCAAACAATATACAATTTGGCTAATGAGGTGGTTTGACAGTGACTGCTATCTTGAGAAATTTTTTGAATATGGGATCATTAAAGTGTTAGAGAATTTTGTAGGAACTCTGTCAAAGGGATTATCTATCCAATTCGAAAACAAGAATTCCCAAAACATATACGTGAAAACATACAAAATTGTATATCAGAGCATCATATTATTATTTATTCCATCGATTTTGCAAAGCATTCTCAGCATAGCAGGCTTTTTTTACATATATCAACTAAAAGAAATTTCAAGCTAGTAGGTTTTAAGCTTCAATTCGTGCAACTTTTAATATTTCCATTGCAAGAAATTAACATATCTTTTCTTGGGGTGAATGACTTCATCTGGAGCAGTATTCTACAGAGTTCTGGATATTGCAGCTCTAGTTAAATATGACAAACTTTCAGAAAGGCTATAATAAGCATATGTATTTTGAGTTCATTAGTTGCTATATTTCAATAAATAGTAGCATCAGCCTTGAACAAAGTTCAAGAAACTGAAATCCGATTTTGAAGAATTTTAGTACCAATTTGGACATAAATTTCATTTAAGCAGTTCACAGAATATTTCAAGACAAGCATAGAGAAGTTTCAAAATTGTCTCTTGAGACTTAATCTTATCATTTTAATGTATCAGGGCAGGAAAATTCTCCCAAATCCTTGACTTATTTTATACCATTTCCATGGCATCCAATTGCTTCCAAACTGTGCCATTCATGAGGTGAGAAGTATATAACTCCATTCATGTAGAGATGCAATCTGCATTTTCTACCATGGTAGGAGGATTGCAGGCACTTTCCCTGCCCGTAAGCGACACCAAAACAAATTGAAACCACCAGAGGTTTCAGACATGATAACATGGTATCTCCTTAGATGACTGTTCACGATATCTTGTGTCAATGTGTTGATATGGGTATATTTTTTGAAAAGGATTCCAAATACCAGAGAGAGAACAATAAAAAAAAGCAACAATTTTCAACATATTTGGAAATCTGCATATGCAGGTGCAGGTTCAAAGTTCCCCAGGCTTGTACTTGTTAAGCCTCCCAACGTGTTTGGTACCAGCAAGATGCTCTTATTTCACCCCAAAAAATGTTGGAGTAGAGAAGTGAGGGGGACAAAACATCTCCCAAGGCAAGGAGAGTGTCCCTACACTTCAACTAGGCCAATGTATTTTTTTGAGCAGGCATGATCCAAAATCTGGAGGGTCGTTGGGCCTGAAATGGGTTGATTTGCCTAGTACCTAGGATTTCTAGCTTTATTTCAGTCTAGGTTGGTATTGGTATGAGGTTGGATAGGTTAGGGTTAAGTTTCTCTCTTTAGGGTTTTCTCTCACTAGAAGTCTTAAGCCCCAAGCTCACAACTAAATTTTCCAATCCAACCCCAAAAAATGGCTGACAGTTGGTGTATTTATAGAGTTTCAAACAAGGGCAGGAAATCAAAAATTCAGATCATACTAGGATGGAAACTAACCCTTTGCCCCATTTTTGATCTAAAGGACAAGTTATCCACAGTCTTTGCAATATCAACAATTTTCCCTTTGGGGTTTGAGTCACCTTAGAGCATCACGTTGTTATTTTGGCCAGATTTTGATGGCTTTGGCCCTTCGGGGCTTTCATTCACCTTATACAGTCACTTAGTTTGACCCTGAAGTAAAACTATTGATATGTATACAAAGGGAAAGGGGATGGAGTGAGGAACAATCCCTCCAAATTTCAGCTCATTTCATAGTAGGATTTGGGAGATATGGTCCTATCTGTGGCTGTTTTTGGGTCTCGAAAAAGTCACTGAATTTATGTTCATGTGCACCAGCGGTGTCTTAGAATAGTTACCAACAATGTACTTTGAGTGATCTCTTCGAAAGTGGTAACAAATGACATCGGATTGCCCTAAAATTTGGAACATAAGGTTTTTAGTGGCTAATCCATCACCTCGCCAAGTTTCAGCTCCATTGGACACTGTTTGCCAAGGGTCACTTTGTAAATTGACCCACTTCAAGGTCACAAATTGTATATGAATAATGCTCTGCCAGTGGCTTCTGTCTTTGAAACCCCATATCTAAAGCATCCGATATCGGCGTGCCGTGATATTTCGAAGATATCCAGGGGACATCTCAGATTAAATCTTCGGCCAATTTTGGTAAACAACTCAGCTCATTTGGTCAGGACTTGGCTCATCTCTCTTATGGACCGTCTGTGTAACAGTTCAGAGTCACACCGTTGACTTTTGCTGGAGAGGTCCCATTTCATATATTATGAGGATCCTTGTGACTTGACTCCAATATGAGACCATTTTGGTGGTTATCAGCAGGTTCTAGCAATTCCAGTGTATATGATATAGTTCGGATGTTTGACCAATCAACCCTGTGCTGCTGCAGTTGGCAAGTGACCGTTTTTTGGATCTCATCGTATTCTCTACCTCTCAAGGGTTTCTTGGCTAACATGGGTCCCGATGTCCATTCCTGAATTTTAATCCCACATTGCTGGAATGGGACAGCTATAGTATAATCCAGTCATGAGCTCCATACTCAATCATAGTAGTTGATGCCATTGTCAAATACATTTGATACAAAATACACCCAAACAATGACCCTACAAAAATTTTTATCCATGCCACTAGTGAGGCATTGGAAGAGTAGCAGAAGTACACATCAGTAACATGAAGGGAGTTGACATACAATTTGACAATCCATACACTGAGGTGTTCAAAATTGGCCTAGCCCACTCACTGATTGAGGACCCAAATTTCTCCATTCAAATAAGATCAGAAAGGGTGTTTAGACACCAGAGCAAGAGAATTAGACTAGTTCAAAGGTAGTAGGAGGGAAGATGTTGACAGACCTTAATGGTGGTCGATCCAAATCAACAATAGAATTGAGAGTGTGCGAGCAACAAGAGATAAAACCTATAATTGGGAATGTGTTAAACGAGTAAGACCATAGGCGTTGAGAGTGGGCAACGGAGTTGGATATGGAGTAAGGAATCATTGTTTGCCAAAAGCTCCCTAATTAAAGGATATTGATGCTTGGGATATCTTTGAAATTTAGTCCAGAAAAAATGTTTCCCCTTCTACAAAATCCAAAATTTACCTCCTGATCCATTTTGTAGGCTCTTCCTTGATAACATTAGTTTAAAGAGTTCCCTGGCAGACGAGGAACATGTGTACCCAAGAAAATGGGAATGCACTGGGAAACTGCTCCCATCCCCGAACTGCAGAACCACATTCCATGAGTGGGAGAGCCACCTTAGATGGAAGATACTAGTAACTATGATAAGAGACGGGTATTGAGGGGAGTAGAAGAGGTGTACCAAAGGACTTTGAAGGTGAAACTTCTTCATATAACAGGGACGAGGGAATAAATGGCTAGGGAATCACATTATACAAGGGACACACACATTGGTCATCAGCACTAGAGGAGCTAGCGTAGAACCTATAACTGAAGGGGCCTCTAACAAAGTCAAAACACATGTGCAAATGTTGCCAGGTGAACCAATGGTACATGTGTGCCGTAATGAATGCTCGGATATTCCAGCCATGTCAGTCTCTAGAAGAAGGATTTGTGTATGCTATGATTGATAAGCATAGATTTCAACTAGACATGGATCCGCAAGGGAAGAAGCCAAAATCTTGGTAGCTATAGGGAAAATTGTTGCTTGTCAGGCAAGGTTAGAGTAGGTGTTGACTGTAAAGACATATTTAGGTAGTGATGTCTACTTTGTAGGTGAGAGCTAAAGAGTTAGAAATTATAATAAAACGGACAAAAAGGGGTCAAAAGTGGAAAAACTTAGAAAAAAGAGGAAAAGGGGTGGACATGCGGAACGAATCACGACTATTAGTTGTGAGAAACACAGAAATCAAAAAGCAATGGCCCTTTGTTCATTAGAGGCCTTCTTTGCAATGCATCTATATGATGCGATCTATGATAGTTTTGAAATGTGGTGGGCTTATCCTTGGAGTCAATATTGAATGACCTTTGGTATAATTGCTTGCATATGTAATAAAGATAGAAAAATGCTGAGATGCACATAGGATATTGCAAGGTCCCATAACACTAGCTAAGGGATAACAAGTGCTTTAAAACCCAGCAATTCCAATCCAGCTCATTGATCCGGATGGGAACCGGTCGTGACGACCGATTTCAGAATGGTATGTGTCTCGGCCCAGTTCCCCCCTAAAATCCTCCTTTATAGGAAGCCCCTACGCAACGCCTATGGGTGAAAATGAACAGTGTTTTCGCCCATACGTTCGGCGCCATCCTATTTTTTCAGATGGCGTGGATAAATCAACTGCAACAAACATAGCATGTCCGATGCAATCAATTTTTCATGCAAAAAACACGGGAAACTGCAACGGGTTGAAACACTATTCATTTTTACCCTATGGCATTTTTAAGACTTTTCTATATATATATATATATATATATATATATATATATTATAAG